GACCAAAACCAGCACCGTTAATTTTCTGAATGTTTTGTTAGATCTTCTTAATGAGGAGTAGGATCATTACCGGATACCAAAATGATATAATTTATCGTCTATCGCAACAGTCCCGACCTTATGTAGTAATAAAGGTCAGGTATTGTTCAATACTTGTTGATGAAACCAGAGACGCATCCGAGAAGAAACAGCTCAGTTACTTCATGAGATATGTTGATAATGGCGTCATCAATGGAAAACCACTTGGAGCGTATAACATACATCCGGTAGATGCTTTACAAAAAAGGCACCAGGGACCATTACCATCAATTTGCCAGAGAAACAACTGATGGTGGCAACGAAACAACAACATACAAAACTGCAGGAGCTACCAGATTCTAGTGAGATGATTTTTCCGGAAGACTTGTTAGATCTTACTGAGTCACATTTATTACTGAATCACATTAATTACTCAATCACATTAATTAATTAATGAAACACATTAACTACTAAATCACATTAATTACTGAATCATATTAATTACTCAATCACATTAATTACTACTAAATCACATTAATTACTGAATCACAATAATTACTGAAAACATCTAAAACATAAATATTATCGTCTTCATTGGATTTTATATTCTTAATAAGTTTGAAATTTTCCAAATTGCACAAAATTCACGTTAGAGAAAGCATGGAAACAATGAATTTAACTATAACTACATGAAAGTGAATCGTCTTCACTTGGAATTTATATTCTCAATGTCAGAAACAAACAAAAATTTACAAGTTGCACGAATTTTACGTTGAAAATGTATAGTTGCTATGAATATTGCCTCCGCTAAATATGATGTATGGGAGTGGGCCTGGGCAAACATTGTTTAATGTATGATTCAAACGAAAGGGATTTGGGAAAATTTTTCGCTTCAAGTATGAATGAAAAAAAAGATTTCAAATTTTAAAAAGTTTAATTATTAATTATTATAAGCAAGAGCTTCGACCATTTTGAACATGCGCCACAACTACCAGAATTGGAAGTCCAGTTATTCCTAATTTTAGTAATTGCAGTTGTTTATAACTATTTCCAAAATTATTATTATCTAGAGCATCTCGATAACGGTGTTCATTATTTCAATTGAATTAAAAAATTAATATTGCCGTGAACGAGAAAATTTATGTCCTTGAATTTATTAATTTTCTTCATATTAATCCATAAAATAATATGCGTCGTTAGTAATTCGCTGTATTTCTATAATTTGTAAAATGACTTGTAATAATAAAAATAATTACTGTAATCATTAATTATAAATTAAAATTAATTGATCTACTAATAATTATTTACATTGTA